CTAAACCCCTTAAGTCTCTGCCGCACCTTTGCCAAAGCCTCTGAGGCTCCTCGCGGCTGCGGCGCTGTTGGCGAGGAAGGCGGTCTCGGCGACGCTGAAGGCCCGGGCTCAAGTTGATGTTAAGGGGTCCTTTAAGGGTTTAGGGTTTAGGGTTTAGGGTATAGGGTTTAGGGTTTAGGGTTTAGGGTATAGGGGTTTGGGGTTTAGTGTTTGGGTTTAGGGTTTAGAGTTTAGGGTTTAGGGTTTAGGGGGTTCCTTTAAGGGTTCCTTCAAGGGGTCCTTTAAAGGCCTTGTAAGGGTTGATTTTAGGGGTGTTCTTTAAAGGGGTGTTGCTTTAAGGGTTCCTTTAAGGGGTCCTTTAAAGGCCTTGTAAGGGTTCCCTTTAGGGGTTCCTTCAAGGGTTTCTTTGGGGGTTCCTTTCCGGGTTCCTTTAAGGGGTCCTTTAAAGGCCTTGTAAGGGTTCCCTTAGAGGTTCCATTGAGGCTTTTAGGGCTTTCGGGGTGGCCGGGTTCCTAAACAGCAAACCCTAAACCGTGGGTTTCGGATTGGCGGGTTTGGAGGTTTAGGGTTTAGGGTTTAGGGTTTAGGGGAATATGATTGAATTTCAACGTTAATTAAGATTAAATTCGAATTTCAACCATGGTTCATCCTGTAGCCGGCTGCCCGCGATGAGGGATTAAATTCGAATTTAATCCTTTTTAGGGTTTAGCGTTTAGGGACGGCTTAAATTCGGTTTTCATAGTCTGGTCTATTTGTGTATACGGCTTATATGGGTTAACATCGAATTAAATTGCAGATCCTTCCGTCACTCATAGGCATGGTTTTAATTCGAATTTCGAGCTCCTGCTATGGTTTCCGGCATGGTTTTAATTCGAATTCAGAGCTCTTGCTATGGATTCCGGCATGGTTCAATTCGAATTTAGAGCTCTTGCTATGGCTTCCAGCATGGTTTTAATTCGATTTTAGAGCTCTTGCTATGGTTTCCAGCATGGTTTTAATTCGAATTTAGAGCTCCTGCCATGGTTTCAGGCACAGTGTTAATGCGAATGTAGAGCTCTTGGCATGGTTTTAATCTGTGGTTTCAGTCACAGTGTTAATGCGAATGTAGAGCTCTTGGCATGGTTTTAATGGCACAGTGTTAATGCGATAGTAGAGCTCCTGCTATGGTTTCAGGCATTGTTTTTAGTGGGGCTTGGACACCGTTTCGATTCCGACCAAAACCCGATGCTCCGCCTGTTCTTGCAGTTTTCCATCTCCACAAGCGTCGAATTAAATTCGAATTTAAGCCGCCAGGCTGGCCTGACCCAGCCCCCGCTATAGAATGGATTAAATTTGAATTTAATCCTCTTTAGAGTCTTTAGAATTTGAAATTCAGCCTCATCCGGGTTTAGGGTCTAGCAGCCCTTTTAAGGTTTCTCGGAGATGGGTTTGCCGTTCTCGGCTGTGAGTTAGAAACTCTACAGAACCTCTATATCACGCATACAGAACCCCGACAGAGCCTTCAAAAGATCTGTCGAGACCCCGTAATACCCTCGTGGAGCCTTGAGAGAACCCTGAACCCTAAACCCGAAACCCTGAAGCCATATAAAGCTCTACAGCCTAAATGCCAAACCCTAAACCCTAAACTCTAAACCCTAAACCCTAAACCCTAAAGCCTAAACCCTAAACCCTTAAACCCTAAACCCTAAATCCCTAAAGCCTAAACCCTAAACCCTTAGAGAGCCCCGAAACCGAAAGCCAGGAAGGCAGCAGCTTCTTCCTGGAGGGCATCCGCCGGGATTCGCCGCCAGGCGCGGTCCGGGGGGCAGGTTCCCTACGCGCTGAACCGTGCAGGGTTTAGGATTTGGGGTTTAGGGGTTAGAGTTTGGGGTTTAGGGGTTTAGGGTTTGGGGTTTAGGGGTTTAGAGTTTGGGGTTTAGGGGTTTAGGGTTTGGGGTTTAGGGTTTAGGGTTTAGGGTTTGGGGTTTCGGTTCTGAACTCTAAACCCCAAGGCCTGAACTCCCTCAGCCCCATAAACCCTACTTATAAGGACCTTCTAAATTAGGGTCCCTTTTTTAGGTCCCCAATATAGTTAATAAGGACCCCAAAAAGGGACCCGAATTTCGAGAACTACCCATGTATTGAATGTAGGAGGCTGATAGACGCCTCCCACTTTTGGCCGCGTCCTGTGGAAGGTCTACGGCTGGACAATCTTTCTTCTGCTGGTGCTTACGACTTGGGCGGCACATGTCTGGTTGTTGGAGTACAGCCCCTTGACACGGTGGACGTTCCGACAGTGCTGGAATGCGAATGAGGGCAAACTCCAGATCTGCGCTTGTCTGAAGGGTCTTCGCAAGCTGGCATAGGTGCACGGACATGCGACGCCCAGAAGTTTCGGTTAATAAGGACCCATGGCAGCAGCTGCTATGTAGAGTTCGAGATGACTTGTCTTGTAATGCACGGGCCTGAATGATCACCAGTACTATTGTGGGGGTTCCTTATGATGATTATAGTACAATAGAACCCAACATCCCATTGAAATTATTAAGGCCCCTATATCAGACAGCTGAGGCATTTCCTGGGTGCGCTTCTTTGCCTGCCCGAGGTTACCCGAAACGTCAGCAACGAACCTCGGCCCAATTGGAGGATCATGGGACTTAGCAACTAGGGTTCCTGAAAGGGTTCCTTGAAAGGGTTCCTTAAAAGGGGTTCCTGAAAGGGATCTATCCTTCAAGGATCATGGGACTTTAGCAACTAGGTCTATAAATAAGGTAACTATATTTATAAGTAATTATAACCCCAATTAAAGTAGTTATAACCTTACTTACTAAGTCCCATAATTCTCCAAGCAAGACAGCATGAGTGTCATCCTGCGATGTGCTTCATGTCACATCGCAACCCTTGTGCTAACAACTTTCAGTCGTAACCCTTAAAGGAACCCTTGAAGGAATCCTGTTCCCAAACCCTTGTAGGAACCCTTGTAGTAACCCTTATAGTATCCTATTCGGGTTTAGGGTTTTTAAGCTTATTTTCTTTTGCATTGTTTCTATTCTTGGGAGATATTAAGCTTTCTTACTTCTCTTGCTCCTGGAGGTTCTACGCCGGTCGGAAATTCTTAATTCAAGTAGGTTCGGGTTTGGTTGAGGCTGCGGCTGGGAGTAGCCTTGGCCCTTTTCGGGCCTGCGGCATGGCAAGGCCTGTTCGGCCTGTCCCAATCGTAGCACAGCGCCAGATTTTGCCACGTTGTTTTGTGTGTCGGCCCATCTCGGGGTCCGGAGGGCTGTCCAAGTCGTGAAGGTTTGGTGTACCCTACCCCCTTCTCGTAAAATGTGCTGGCGCCCATCTCGGGTCTCCCCTTTCCTGGGGGTACGCTTCCGCCAGGGAACTGTCACGGGGGGTCTTGGGGTCCCGTAGTCGGAGTTGGGGTGCGGCTGCGGCTGGGACAGTCTCTGGCAGAGTCGTAGCACAAGGCCGGATTTTGTCCCGTTAAATTCTTTTCGTAAAGTGTGTGTTTTAGAAGCTAGGAGGGCCGTCCAGTCGTGAAGGGTTGGGGTCCCCCACTGCAAATCCTTGTCTAATTGTTGGGGCACCCCTATGTTGAAGTCGCGAAAGGTGGGCGTCCGCAGTTGGGCCAGAACCGGACCCCCTGGCCCGATCCCTTGAGTGCGGGCGGTGTAACCGGAGCCAGCAGCCTGCCTGCAGCCCCCGCCGGCCAGGACTCCAGAAACTTTGGGTGAAACAAACCCATATTTCGAAAAGCCAAAATCGGTTGCCACCAGGGGCTCAGCCCCCAAGCAAGCAGCCTGCCTAGACTGAAAAGGCTGAACCCTTAGCATATCAGATAGGGCCATGCGCAAGCACGGAGGCCGATTTGTCCTCCCCCGCTCTCGAAGAAAGATGCATCCAAGTCACCTGTGTTTTAAGTACCTGAAAGCAGCCGCGGTGAAACCAAAGCGTAGACTCCAGATTATCCGTATTAGACAACCCTGCATTCAGCTTCCCACACACGCTCAAAAGCATATGCTCAGAGTGGCGGGTTTCATCGTGGCATCACACATAGGGCTTAGGTTTACTATCCTGCCTGGCACACCCTAAAACCCTGAAACCTAAGCCCTACACCCTAAAACCCTAAAGCCCGACAACCCTAAAGCCCTAAGTCGTGAACCCAAAACCTTAGAACCTTAAAGCATGAACCCAACACCCAGAACCCTAAACCCTAAACCCTAGACCCTGAACCTTAAACCCTAAATTCTACAAGCCAAAAGCCTTAAAACCTAAACCCTAAGCCCTAAAAGTAAAACCGAAACCCTAAGCCCTAAACCCTGAAACCTGAACCCAAAACCCAAAACCCTAAACCGTAAACCAACCCCAAACCCAAAACCCTAAAACCCTGGAGCCTGAACCCACCACCCTAAACCCTAAACCTTAAGCTCGAAACTCTTAACCCGGAAACCTTAAAACCCTACAACTACCCTAAACCCTGCATGCGTTCAGGGGTGCGCAGTGGATGCTGATTTGAGGAGTGCGCACCGGATGCAAAACAAGTGTGCACTGGATGCTGATTTGAGAGTGCGCACTGGATTCAAATCGGAGTGAGCGCTGGAGCGCCCTCCCCTTCTCGGAACCCTTAAAGGAACCCTTAGAGGAACCTTAAAAGGAACCCTTAAAGGAATCCTTAGAGGAACCATTAAAAGAACCCTTAAAGGAACAATTAAAGGAACCCTTAAAAGAACCCTCAACGGAACGATTAAAGCAACCCTTATAGAAGCCCTGAGAGGAACCCTTAAATGAACCCTTAAAAGAACCCTTGAAGGAACCCATAAAGGAACCCTTAAAACAACGCTTGAAGGAACCCTTAAAGGAACCCCTCAAAAAACCCTTAAAGGAACCCTAACCCATAATGGCTTAAAGGAGCCCGTATATTAACCCTTCTAGGATTCCAACAACTGTCCTTGAGGATTGGTCTGCCGCCCTGATCCGGCACGCGGCCCTGCTAGCAGCTGCCCTCGGCCTCACGCAGGCAGGGCTCTACCAGAGTTTAGGGTTTAGGGTTCAGGGTTTAGGGTTCGGGGTTTCGGGTTTAGGGTTTAGGGTTCAGAGATTAGAGTTTCAGGTTTAGGGTTTAGGGTGTAGGGCTTAGAGACTCCAGGCCCCCCTTAATTGAGGAATTTTCCTTAAATCATATTAGGGATCCCAATATCATCTAAAGTATATTCCTGAATTAAAGGGTTTTGGAGTCCCCAGGTACTAGGGGTTTAGGGTTCAGGGTTTAGGGTTTAGGGTTTAGGGTTTAGGGTTTAGGGTTTAGGGTTTAGGGTTTAGGGTTGGTTACTTTGAGGGTTGCTAAACGGTGCTGTCAAGGTTGCTGTAAGGGTTACCAGAAGGCTTATTATAAGGGTTAGTATAATTACTAGAAGGGTTACTGCAAGGCTTATTAGACGGGTCCATATGAAAAAGCAGGGTTACTGCAAGGCTTCTATAAGGGTTCAGGGCAGCTTGCACCGCAGCAGCGATGACATGTCTTGTAAGGCTTTACTTTTTGAGATAAGGTTTCGGCTGGGGTCCCTATACACGGACCCCAGTAAGGCTCCCATCAGTATATAAGGTTCCTAGAATCCTAGAAGGTACTGAGGGCTACAACAAGGCTAGGCTCTATAAGGTTCTACGAGGGTTGCTCTAAGGGTTATTATAAGTCTTCTAGAAGAACTCTCCCATGGTTCGGTCAGAGTGTGCAAAGATGGTCCCACAGCAGGGGAGTAGGCATACCGGAACTCTGCGAATTGCAGGCAAGATCAGATGTTCCGGGGATTGCTTGGTGTTCGCAAGGTTCTTGCTGCCGTGCGCAGGCACCTTGCAGAGGAGATTCGTTTCCAGGGAGCCAAGTGGTCTTGACATGTGGGAAGTCGCAGATGGAAGCGTTGAATGTGTGGTAGTCGGTTTGCTCTTAAGGTTGTGGAGTTCTTATGCGGGTTGCTCGAAATTGGGTATATCCATAAGACCATAAGAATTGAGAAATAGGGTTACTGTACAGTTCCTACACCGGTACTCCCAGGATTGCGAGAAGGTTCCGCCAGGTTCCTTTAACAACTCTAAGCCCGAAGCATTAAGCCCTTTACTTTACTTGGAGGCCCTTTTGACTTAGTAAGTCTACTTAGTATCCCCCAGGAGCCCTATTATAATCCCCATAACCCACCTTNNTAAGTCAAAAGGGCCTCCAAGTATAAGCGTACTACAAGGGTTATAGCAGGACGGGCCAAAGCACATGCCCCTCTCTCTGCTCGCCTACCTCGCTGCTCGGCCGTATCCTTGAGCTCCTTTCCAGAATCATAGTAATTAACCCTTCTACAAGCCCCTATAATGAGCCTTATCGTAACCCTTATAGGAATCCGCGTGCATTCCGTATTCTATCCCTTATAATGACCCTAGAAAAAAGTAAGCTTATGGAGAAGCCGGATGCCTTGCAGAGCCAGAGGAAGTTGAAGAGCCCTAAACCCTAA